TTTACGACCTTTCGCTATACAAATTACTAAAAGACTACAATAAGAGACATCGTGGTGGCAGACATTAAAATGAATGAACATTATTTAGATGTTGATTCCTGAACCGTTAACTTCTAACTAGAAATCAATGACTATTTATCGTAAGGATCGATCAAGAAATAAGAAAAAGAAACTTGTTGAAATATTCTGTACCAAACATATACTACTGAATGAAGCCAATAATAATACAATATACAGTCAATCAAAACCAAATAAACATCTTTAAATGATAAATAAACTCAATTTGCCGACTAAAAAATTTTCATCTTGCCAGTTAGTAGACATCAATGTACTCTAGAAAGTAATTTAGTCAATCTAATTAAGAGATTATGAAAAGGCATTTGACAGTGTAGATAGGAGAACGTTATGAAAACTTATTCGACACTACGAAGTTCCTGAGAAAATTGTCAATATTATCCGGAACTCATACGACGGACTACAGTGCAAAGTAGTGCATGGAGGACAGCTGACAGATGCATTCCAAGTAAGGACCGGAGTCAGACAAGGCTGTTAACTCTCTCCCTTCCTCTTTCTTCTGGTGGTCGACTGGATTATGAAGATCTCGACATCTGAGGGAAAACATGGAATACAATGGACAGCTCGAAATCAATTAGACGATTTGGACTTCGCAGATGACCTAGCCCTCCTATCACCTACACACGAACAGATGCAGATGAAGACAGCCAGTGTAGCAGCAGTCTCTGCATCAGTAGGCCTCAACATACACAAGGGGAAACCAAGGTCCTCAAATTCAAAGCGGAGAACAGCAATCCAACCACTCTTGATGGTGAAACTCTGAAAGATGTAGAGTCCTTCACATACCTAGGGAGCATCATCGATGAACAAGGGGATTCAGATGCAGACGTAAAGGCGAGGATCGGCAAAGCAAGAACAGCATTCCTACAATTGAAGAATACATGGAACTCAAAACAACTTTCAACCAATATCAAAGTGATAATCTTCAACACCAACGTCAAGGCAGTTCTACTGTATGGAGCTGAAACTTGGAGAACTACAACAACCATCATCAAGAAGGTGCAAGTATTTATAAATAGCTGTCTACGCAAGATACTCAACATCCATTGGCCAAATGCCATCAGCAACAGCCTTCTGTAGGAGAGAACAAACCAGCTTCCAACTGAAGAGGAAATTAGGCGAAGACGATGGAAATGGATAGGACATACATTACGCGAATCATCAAACTGCATCACGAAGCAAGCCCTAACTTGCTATCCTGAAGGGAGACGGAAAAGAGGAAGACCAAAGAACACATTACGTCGAGAAATAGAAGTAGATATGAAAAGGATGAATAGGAACTGGAAAGAGCTGGAAAGGATTGCTTGGGTCATGGTTGGATGGAGAATGCTGGTGAGCGGCCTATGCTCATTCACGAGGAGTAACATGCGTAAGTAAGTAAGTAATTAAGAGACTATTAGAATCTACCTATCTATCTCTAGGAATTCCAATTCATTTTGTGTTTCACTTCATTGATTTACCGTTATTTAATTTAGATTAATTGACATTTGTCATTACATTATTATTATTATTGTTATTATTATTATTATTATTATTATTATTATTATTATTATTATTATTATTATTATTATTAAATGGCTTTATTCAATACTATATTTTTGGTAGAATATAGAATTCTCAGTACAAGGTATTTCAACAAGTTTGTGTTACAGAAAAAAAAACAAAAAAGAAGGGGAAAAGGTCTTTAAAAAAACCGAAAAACTGCAGAACTTTTCAAATTAGAGATGTGTTAAGAATGCAGGTTATTGACTAGGTTAACTCTAACAACCTCTTCGTCACATAGTGTGCTTGCTAGGTAAGGTATTATAGAACTTTTATACTTTTGCTTGTGTGCATGGATTTCAATGTAATTACGTCTCGTTCTACCAGAAGAAGATATACAAGGAGAAAGATATGAGTGGAGGGGATGGCTAGTATCTGATAAAATAACACCTGCCAGGAGTTTGCATGACTTTAGATGTCTATCCACAATCAAATTAATTATGACCTCGAAAGATTCACCACACACCATGCTAACTGCCTTCAGCACTCTCCTTAATAAAACAAAGTCTTTTCTCAAAAGCTCGGGAAGAAATATTGGAGAACAGTAAAGAATAATAGGTAATATGCAAGAATTGACAAATTGTAAGAGTAAATGTCGAGTAATCCCAAGAGCATGCAATCTCTTTATATAGTAAGTCAGACCAAAAACTTTCTTCGGTAACAGTAAAACGTGAAAAGACCAAGACAGATCAGAGGAAAAGGTAACACCAAGATAATTGATCTTCGACATTGTGTTCATCAAAGAGTCTCCAGTGGCACAAGCTTTATGGGATCCCAAAGTGATGGTTTGATGCCGTTCATGTTTCATGCTAAAGTTAACAGCTTGACGTTTAGGCGGATTAAGTATGAGACCATTAATAACAGACCAACAATCCATAAGAGACAAAAACTCATTCATTTCTATAGGATGTAAAGAGGTAGAGATAGGCATATATTCAGTGAGATCATTCGCATCTAATTAACTTCTTTCAATATTCTTTACTATAGAAAAGAAAATATATTGTACTTAGTAAACAGAGATGTAGCTTATCATTGGAGGATAATAAGAAAACAAGCTGTACATTTAATTACATAAACATAAAACACATTAATCACTGACTAATTTCATAAAACACCATGAGAATTTAAAACAAATTTTATTACTGTCTCAGTAGTCTGGAGGTTAAACGTTCGTGTGTATGAGATTATAAAATCCTGGGTTCCAATTCTCATAGGTCGAGATTGTGGATGAGCACTATTGAAGTGTTCCATACTAGAATGAAATGATCGTCTAGTACTTCTAGATTTTACAAAGTGATCTAATGTCAATTAACTCATGAATTCAACTATTAAATTACTAGAATATCCACAAAACTCCTCTCTGATTATTTCTCAATTATTTTGTATAGGGATAAAGGAATTACAAAAATAGAAAAAGGGGAATCAAGAATTGGTCATGGCTAATAACACTATTTCACTCATTTTAATTATGATAATAAACAGTAATGACCTAACTTGATGAATTATCATTCAACTTGAAAATAGTACGTATTCAATGCATTAAAATAAACATTGAATATTGAGATGTCAACCAAACATTTTAAAGAAAACTGATCTCCGTTTAGTAAAAATGATCTAAATTATCATAGATGGATCAATATTGGACCACTATTGATAACCTTGAAGCACAAGACAACCGTTTCATTTTAGTATGGGACTCCTTAGAAGTACGTATCCATGATCCCTCCTTGTGGGATTCGAACCAAGAACATTCGATCTCATACGGTTATAGAAGAGTAGTATTTTGATAACCTATTAGTTTTTAATAATTTTTCACAAAGTAAAATAGTTTGCAAAGTACATAAAAACCAAAAGAATAATTCTAGTTTGAGTTGTAATATGAGTGATATCAAATGAGAGAAATTCGGGAAGTGACATTCAGTAGATAAAGAAAGAACGAATCAAACGAAGAAATGTCTTTTCAATTAGGTTTTCATCATAGCTTTACACTCATATATATCGATATGATTTGTAGTAATGAAGTAATACTCATCGAGTGGATACGTTAACATTGAATAATTGGAAGAAAGAAGAAGAATAATAATAATCAAAGTAATTATTCGGAAGTCAAGTAGTTGCTACGTTGCATAATATATGAAAAACAGAATGAACAGAATATTTTGATGAATGATCAGTAGAATAGTAGTTATGACTAACCAAAGTAGTGCGAAAATAGTTGTGCTACAAACACCCCTATACCGATGGCCAATGTAGGGGCGTTTATAACAAAACTATTTTCGTACTTCTTCCATTTTGTTTTTGTTTTTTGAACTTTGTATTTTCCCTCAACATTGATCTCTTGATTCTTACGTGATGACTATGATGAAAACCTATTTGAAAAGACCTTTCTTCGTTTGATTCGTTCCTTCTTTATCTACTGAATGTCAAAGTGATATTCAATTTACATAGTGAACACATTAAGTCATATATTGAGTTTCAGATAAGTTTTCTTTATTTCAAGCATCTTAAAAGTAAGATTAATTTTGATTACATTAGTGATTAACACAACAATCTAGAAAATGTATATCAAGGATTGCTTTCTTTGTAACCAGGTCATCGATAATTTCAATAATGATACATTACATTAATATATGAATACTCATTGAATACATGTAAATAGTATATCAGTAAATAGCCGAAACGTAATATACCAATTAATAAATTGTTTACATTTTTCACAAATGAATACACGAGTTCATCTAGACTAGATCATCATTGAAAACCTGGAAGTATTGGATTACCGTTTCATCCTAGTATGACACTCGTCAACAATGCGCATCCATGATCCTGCACATGGGACTTTCGATCTTGCACACAAACGCTTAACCTCTAAATTACGAAACTGACATCGTACAGTAAGTCCTTCAACCACGAAATGTCAATCAATCATCTAAAACTTCATTGTTCTTCCATTTCCACATCAATCATTCTTTGTTCTCCTTCTCATTTCTACAATCTTCTTAACTATCTGCCACCAGACATTTTACTTTCAATTGATACTACCTACTATTTCGTATCTGTTTACATTAATACCACATACAATAGTTATATAAACACAATCTAAGATAACATTTATACTCTTTGAAATCATGAGTCAATTGAAGCTAGACCACCATGGAAAACTTGAAATCAATGGACGGCCGTTTCGTCCTAGTATGGGACTCCTCAGCAGTACGCATCCACGATCCCTCACCCTCACGGGATGGTGGTCTAGCTTCAATTAACTCATGATTTCAAACAGTGAAATTTCTGATAAAAAAAATATCTCCACAAAACCCTTTCTGATAAAAAAAAAAATTTGTAGCCAAAAAAGTATATAAGTTTTTACTTTATAAATAACTTACGTGTTCCATCAAACCGTGTAGCGATTGTATCAAGAAAAGTATTTTGTGGAGCTAATAATCCTTTTCTTTGTGGCATAATTGTTACTTTAATTTTGTTTTTCTTTCTTCATACTTAGCTAATACCCATTCTATTCATATCAAAATAGTTTGTATTTTGTAAACAGATATGATTGTATATTTATTCATTATAAGTAATATAGTATACAAAGAATAATATACATATTCACTGTATAGTATGCATTATACTGATTCAATAGAGAAGTATTTCATGAATGTTATTAATTCTTTATCTCATTCGATGAGATAATAGAATAAAGTGTATTCCTTTCATTGAAGTAATATAACATTGAAGGTAACATTGAAGATATGTAACATTGATATGCTTGATTTGTATCATGTAAATTGTATTTCCTCAATTTTCAAAGGTATAATATATATTTTATGAATGATTTAAGAATGCCCATATATATTAATGCAGTGTGACGATTATTCTTTTTCTCCCAATTTTAAGTCATGAACAGATTATGATTGGTTGATTATTGTTGACCAATCAGAATGAAATTTGGAATTAGATACTAATAATTTGGGAATAAATATTTTTTTAACGAAAAAAAAACAAACAAAAACAAAACAACAACTCATATTTCATGTAATCTGATTTGACAGTATAATTGAAAATAGTTTATGATTTAATTTAATCGTTGAATTCATGAGTCCATTGAAACGAGACTACCATGGAAAACTTGGAAGTATTGGACGGTTGTTTCGTCCTAGTATGGAACTCCTTATTTGTGATGGTTTCTAAGAGGTATTTTCTGGAATTCGATTGAGAACCAGTGACCAGTTGAGTTCAACCGGATCTGTTGTGAGATATTAACTCACTGATGACAATGATGGATAGTGGCACGATTTCCTGGATTAGTTGTAGTTAAACATTAACACTGTTGGATGCTGGTTCAGTGATCTAGAGATTAATCGTTTGTGTCCGAGACTGATATGTCCTGGGTTGGAATCTCGTGGGTTGGGGTCGTGGATGTGCACTGCTGAAGTGACCCTTACTTGGAAGAAACGGTCGTCCAATGCTTCTAGGTTTTCCATAATGTTTTGCTTTAATTGACTCATGAATTCAACTATTAAATTCCTATAATATCCACAAAAACCTTTATTAGTTCCAAATATAAGTGAGAAAAAATGTATTTAAGCATCATAAAATAATAAATTAACATCCTGTTTAATTTCTAGGTGAAGTTTTTAAATGATTAGTTTTAGTCATGATACCATTTAAAATTTGGTATACAACCCCGAATCAGTATTCACACATGAGGTTTTAGTATTAGTAGCGAACAGTTGACTGTTTGAGTTACTCAATTAACGATTCATTGTACGTATTTCCAATTTCAGTCACTTTGTAATAGTGCACGACTTAGGTGAACTTCGTAGGATACAAAAAGTTAGGATCTCATTATAATGTAAGTTATCAGTGAACAAGCGATTATATTTTAAATGGTAAGTGATGCTTGATAAAATTGTTGTTGCTCATCTCTGCCTAGCGGCATCGTGAGATAAATGATTTCTCTATTCCTCCTAAATGGCTATTTAGTTATAAACTATTCGTATTAAGAACATTTTCAAACATATTTACCATACAGAATTTTAATTACACAACGATTTGTGAATATTCCTATCCAAACTTCTAAAGGTCGGAAATGTTTCTTTTCAGCTATCTTGTCGTCGTATGAAAAAATCAGTATAACGTTCTGTACTTGTACATAGAATTTAATAACAATTAACTGGTTTTTAGTAATGTAACATGAACTCATATTTATATTAACCTCAACCATGTATTACTACGATGGTAGTTAGCATAAAGATAAAGAGGGGAATTTTTTTCAATTTGAGAGTCATCTATTCCCGTATTCCCATTACTTTGAAGTATAACTCCGCCTGGAGACCCTCTGGGGCCACTGTCGGTATCTATCCAGGATAAAGAAGGAGAGTTGGGCATGGGGTTAACGATCCCATCCCGTAGAAAATTAATTCGCTAAAAAAACCGCTAACCAGAAAAATGCGCTTTGAAATACAAATCATAAAAGTGGAATTATGCTTCTTTAACGAACTTAGTTGAGCAGCCTATGCTCCTCCACGAGAAGTAAGAGACATAAGTAAGTATGTAAGTAAGTAACGGACTAAGTTCTTACTAATAGTGATATAAAAATTATTATGGCTCTTATAACTCTGTTAGTCACAATTGATTTATAACTGGGTGCTGATCAATGTCATGCGTGTTGCCATCTAATTTAGTCATATCAATCACTTATTTGAATGATCTGACGAAAATAATATCAATCTGAAGGTGAACAAAAGATCTTTTTGATAGCTAGTTACTAGATTTATAAAAAGGAACCGTTGTTATTGGAGAATGGAGTACTTACCCACAAATAATAATAATAATAATAATAATAATAATAATAATAATAATAATAATAATAATAATAATAATAATAATTAAATAACTATCACTCAATATCTCGAATTCATTGACAGCTGAATTCTAAGTCAATAAATGCCAACTCAATGATTTAGAAGTTAAGTACTCACTACAGAACTTGAAGCTTGAGCAATCGATCCTCCGTGAAGTCGTCAATCAACACTTCTGAGGAATTTCATATTGGAACCAGACAGATTTCCAGTGGCTCCTTATTCTTATTTAGTCTAACTGCAGTCATCCCATGATATAACCTTCAAAATACAGTATTTATTTTTTACAATTGATTGGTCACTGGGTGGTGATCAATGTCATGCGTGTCTAGTCCTTATTAGTGCAGATCGAATGCTATCGATTATGTTGCAATGTGGCCACCAGTCTAGGTGACTCGACATTTCAGGCACTATATATTGAGATTAGATGTTGGTTGGATCCTGAATTTCCAACCCTTTCTGTTAGCTGTATTTCTATTCATATGCATCTAGATTACTTAAAAAATTCAGGTATAACTTACCTACTTGCTTACTTACGCCTGTTACTCCCAATGGAGCATAGGCCGCTGACCAGCATTCTACAACCCACTCTCTCCTGGGCCTTCTTTTCTAGTTCCATCTAATTCTTGTTCATTTTTCTCATGTCTATCTTCATTTCTCGGCGTAATGTGTTCTTTGGTCTTCCTCTCTTCCTTTGAACTTGAGGATTCCATGTGAGGACTTGCCTTATGATACAGTTGGGTGCTTTCCTCAATGTGTTTCCTATAACCCTCCCAATACTTCCTCCTGATTTCTTTCTCCGCTGGAATCTACTTTGTCCCCTTTCACAGTAGGTTGTTGCCGGTAGTGTTAGGTCAACGGATCCGAAATATTTTGCGTAGACAACTGTTGATAAATACTTGTATCTTCTGGATGATGGCTTTCGTAGTTCTCAAGGTTTCCACCCCATACAGCAGAACTGTCTTGACATTTGTATTGAAAATCCTGACCTTGGTGTTGGTTGACAGTTGCTTTGAGCTCCAGATGTTCTTCAGTTGTAAATATGCTGCTCTTGCTTTGCCGATCCGCGCCTTCACATCTGCATCAGATTCACCCTGTTCATCAATGATGCTGCCCAAATACGTAAAGGTTTTTACATCTTCCAAATCTTCTCCGTCAATTGTGATTCGATTGGTGCATGCTGTGTTGTATTGGAGAATCTTGCTTTTCCCTTTGTGTATATTGACATTTACTACTGCTGCTGAGGTTGCTGCTGCTACACTGGTCGTCTTCTCACGTATTTGTTGTTGCGTGTGCGACAGAAGACTCAGATCATCTGCGAAGTGTATACCGTTCAGCTGCATCCTAAATGTCCACTGTATCCCGTGCTTCCCTTCAAATGTTGACGTCTTCATGATCCAGTCGATCACCAGGAGAAAGAGAAAGGGTCAGAGTAAGCAACCTTGCTTGACACCGGTCTTTACTTCGAACGAGTTTGTCAACTGTCCTCCATGCACGATTTTACAGTTTAATCCATCATCGTAATTGTGTATGATATTGACAATCTTCTGAGGCACGCCGTAGTATCGAAGAAGTTTCCATAGTGTTGTTCTATCCACGCTATCAAATGCCTTTTCATAACTGACTTATAAATTCATCTAATAAATTACTATAATATCCACAAAAATCCTTCTCTCACAAATTAAATGGATATATCTATCCAATATATATATCATAAGATATGTACCTTCAATTCATTGTTTCTTTTTATGTAAAAATACTAGGTCATCTTTATCACCGACACGTACAACTACCATCACAAGTAATATATGTTATTTCTTTCTTATGACAACAATCATTCTCTTTTATAACCTGTTTCTTCTTCGATTGGTATGTTTGTTTAAATAGGACATTTATCATATAAACATATATATATTTATATGATTGTTTATATTATTGACAGTAAACATACAATAAGGTAAACATGTTAAAAACCATTTCAAGCACAATAATAACAACATAAAATTGTTGACAATGAATATCAATGTTATTTAACAAGTAAATAATGCGAGAGAGAAAAGAAAAACATCATCCATGCTTATGTGGTAACAGTTACTATGATATCTATACATATATGACATGGTTAGATACGAAGTGAATAGTGAAAGAACAAATAAGCAAACAAACAAACAAACCAAATAAAACAATTTTGACAAATTATGTCATTAGTTTAACCAAAAATGTTTACACTTTCTATCTGTAAGGCTTATATTTCAACTCATAGAAGAAGAAAAGAAATGTGGTACAAAATAAGACTAATAAAGGATAAACATGATATTGTTTAAGTTATTTTTTAAAAACTATCGTTTATTGAATAGAGAAGGTTGTTGTTTTGAATGAATGGATAAATAAATAGATAAATAAATACGTTTTCAATAGCTGAGATCATGAGTCGATTGGAGGTAGAACGTCATGGAAAACCTGGAAGCACTTGATAGTCAACATGTCATAGTATGGAACTCCTCAGCAGTGCACATCAATGATTCGACTTGGTGACATTCCAAACCAGGACCTATCTGTCTCGCGCGCAAACGTTTAACCACCACACCACTGAGCCGG